GAAATATATTGTGTGATTTGGTGCACACTAAGACTTATATGTTATATTATTTTTTCAGTAATCGAACGAACTAAAACAGAGGAACGTCTACACTGGGACTGGAAATTGATGTTTAAGAAGATATCAGGGGACATAACCCAGGCCGTAGAAGCTAGTATTACTAGTACAATGAAGACTAATCTACATGAGGAATGGGAACAATGGCAGACGTATCATGCTCTTACTCAAGTCGAGGTGAAATCAACTTTACGTGGTGGTAAACATGATTATCCTAAAGTTATATCTAAGGTATGTCTGGTTTATTTTTGGATGGATTGTGAGATTTTATTATTTTTCTATCCCATGGAAGTTTATATGAGACAGATTTTGATGAAACTTTACTAACCAGAATGCTTTAGAGATGTATCTGACTGTAGTCGATTAACTTTTAAATGTTATTACTATAAGAACACAAGATATATAGATATACTACCTCTAGGTTTATTACATACTACGTTTCAAAACACATACAGTTAACATTAAAAACACAAGATATATAGATATACTACCTCTAGGTTTATTACATACTACGTTTCAAAACACATACAGTTAACATTAAAAACACAAGATATATAGATATACTACCTCTAGGTTTATTATATACTACGTTTCAGAACACATACAGTTAACATTAATAACACAAGATATATAGATATACTACCTCTAGGTTTATTACATACTACGTTTCAAAACACATATAGTTAACATTAAAAACACAAGATATATAGATATACTACTTCTAGGTTTATTATATACTACGTTTAGAAACACATACAGGTAACATTAAAAACACAAGATATATAGATATACTACTTCTAGGTTTATTACAGACTACGTTTAGAAACACATACAGGTAACATTAAAAACACAATATATATAGATATACTACCTCTAGGTTTATTACATACTACGTTTCAAAACACATACAGTTAACATTAAAAACACAAGATATATAGATATACTACCTCTAGGTTTATTACATACTACGTTTCAGAACACATACAGTTAACATTAAAAACACAAGATATATAGATATACTACCTCTAGGTTTATTACATACTACGTTTCAGAACACATACAGTTAACATTAATAACACAAGATATATAGATATACTACTTCTAGGTTTATTACATACTACGTTTCAGAACACATACAGTTAACATTAAAAACACAAGATATATAGATATACTACTTCTAGTTTTATTACATACTGCGTTTCAAAACACATACAGGTAACATTAAAAACACAAGATATATAGATATACTACTTCTAGGTTTATTACATACTACGTTTTAGAACACATACAGTTAACATTAAAAACACAAGATATATAGATATACTACCTCTAGTTTTATTACATACTACATTTCAAAACACATACAGTTAACATTAATAACACAAGATATATAGATATACTACTTCTAGGTTTATTACATACTACGTTTCAGAACACGTACAGTTAACATTAAAAACACAAGATATATAGATATACTACTTCTAGTTTTATTACATACTACGTTTCGAAACACATACAGTTAACATTAAAAACACAATATATATAGATATACTACTTCTAGGTTTATTACATACTACGTTTAGAAACACATACAGGTAACATTAAAAACACAAGATATATAGATATACTACCTCTAGTTTTATTACATACTACGTTTTAGAACACATACAGTTAACATTAATAACACAAGATATATAGATATACTACTTCTAGTTTTATTACATACT